GGGGACACCTGGGGGCGGGGAGCACTCAGGCGAGGGCTCCACGTGTGCAGGTCTGTGTGAGCAGGACCCGAACCCACGCGCTGAAGCAGCTCCTGCAGTACGTGGAGGCCTTACTGCTCGCACACTGCCAAGGGCTCTTAGGACCCAGGAGAACCTTTAGGTCACGTGTCTAGACCAGACAGGTCTAGACAAGGCCACACCCGCCTCCCGGCAGCTGTCTGGGGACGGGAGGTGACCCCCCCTTTCTGGCTACGGTGGGGGGGGGGGCGAGGACAGAGCCCTCGGCAGGCGACCCGTAGCCGCGGTCTTGAGCTGCTGTCATGTGCGTGCCTGGCGCTGCCGCTCACGGTACCTTCTGGCCTTTTCCATGTGCAGAGGTCTTCGATCCCGAGAAGGAGCGGGAGGCTGGTACCTCCAGGGCCAACAAGAGATCCCTGCGGTCCAGGCAGCACTAGCTGGTGCGCTGGTATGGGGCTCGCTGCCTTCGGGGACAGCCAGCGGGCCCTGTTTGGGAGGCAGTGCTTCACGTTGCACCTGAACCCCCGTCTGCTTTGTGGTCGCTCGTGAGGTTTGGAATAAACATTACTAAGGAGTCCTCGCTGCAGCCTCGGTCTGTGGTTGTGCGCCCCCTAGGAGGCTTCCCGGGGTGGCTCCCAGATAACGGAGAACCCCTTGGCTTGGGTCCCCGCTGGGGAAGCTGCCAGAGCTCCTCCTGCATGACACCCCCCCAGTGGCTCAGCCTCAGCCCCCGGCTTGGGTCACTTGTGCCATCAACACTGGCCGGCCCAGCCCTCCCCAGCCCCCTCACAGCCCGGACCCCTCTCTGGCCCAAGGTGCAGTTTGCCTGACGAGCTGGAGGCTGCTCTCCTCACTGGGTACCTCCGCCCCTGCCTGGTGAAGAGCAGCGCCACCAGCAGCCGTCCTGTCGGCCTAGATGTCCCCTCCTCCCTGGCTCACCGGCCATCGAACCCTGTCCAGGCCCCCTGCCCCCTCTGCCGGCAAGGCTCCTGGCCACAGCCAGCCCGCCTGCTCCAGGCTCTTCCACCGCGGCCATCCGCGCGGCACGCCCACCTGAGACCTGATGGCCCCGCTGGCCCGGGGCCCGGGGCCCGGGTGCAGACTGAGGATTCATGGGCCGGCGCTGAGGCCCATCTCACCACCTCTCTGGACCCGCTTTGCCCCACATGGCCTTTCTTTTCCTCCTGAAAGCGCCCTCTGTTCCTGGCCCCTGAGCCCCTGCATGCATTGTGCCCTGGGCCTGCGCAATTTCCCTCGTTTCCCGCCACTGGCCTGCTCCCCAGCCGCTCTTCGGATTTTGTCACGGTTTCCAGCCCTCGGTCCAGCCCTGTTTTCCCCCACATCCCTGCTCATCACACCTGCCACACTTCTGACTCCTGTCTCCTTGTCTCTTCCACCCCGGTATCAGTCAGCCCAGCCCAATGTGGCTAAACAAGGAAGGACTTGGCCAGACGGGGTCCTTCAGGAGAGGCTTGACCTGGTGGGTCCTGTGATGTCACCAAGAATCTACATCGCTGCCTCTGCTAACTTTCATTGAGCTGGCCTTGTGCTTACAGTCTCCCAGAAAATCTAGCCACTTTCTTCCTGCTAGCCATCCTTCCAGGCCTCACACGCCCCTGCGCCCGTGCTGGGAGGAAGAGGGCGCGTCCCATTAACTGGCTTGCCTGCCCCAGCAAACACCCTCGTGGTCCCAGCTGCACTCTGGATACTTACAGAGGTGGGGACGGGATAGGGCAGTCCAGTTGGGACTGGCAAATCGGGGCTTGCCTCTGAGCCAGAGTTCTCTCCCAAAGATAATGGGATGTTCTTATCAGGCAAACGGGGAATGAACTTGGCACCAAATGGGCAGGTGGCCTCCACCCGTCATCTGTTCCACAAGCCCGGTGCACAGGGGACATCTAGCATCTATGACGTGGTGGACAAATGGCGCCGGCTGGTGAGAGGCTCACCCTCCCAGCCTCAGGTGGGTCTCCTCATCGCCCAGCTCCCAGGCAGTGAGGATGCTTCCAACGGAGCCTCTGGGAGCCAGGCTGGGATCCCGGCACAGCCCTCTGGAGGCAAACAGCAGCCCCCCAATAGAGCCCCATGGGTACCCCCCGACCGTGTAGGGAGGTCTGGTGTCAGGCAGGCAACGGAAAGCATCCTCACTAGCTTAAGCAGAGAAGGGCTTTCTTGGAAGGGTACAAGGAAATCTGCAGAGATGACAGGAAGGCAGGAAAAACAGTGGAGAAAGGATGGACCCTGGGGCTTGGGGGGGCCCGGGGGCTTCCCACAGTCCGAGGAGGGGGAGTGTCGTACCACACAGGTCCAGGCGAGTCCTAGCTGTGACTCCAGATGCTCTGAGCCCCTGGCCCCGGGGGACACAGGCCCCCCGGCTCTCAGTCTCCCGGTGTTGATCCCAATGTGAACTTCCCAAGGACTCCTTGACAGCACCCGACAAAACCTCATACACAATTCTGAAGACCATGTCTGGCGCTCGCGGCTTTGCGGATCAGGCCGTTGCCCGCCTCTCTGCTCCCTGTCGACACTCCTGACTTGGTCACTCCGGGAGCTACCAATGGGACAGGTGACAGCTGTTCCGCTTTCCGGGCTCGCCCTGCCAGCCCGCCGGCCCTTCTCACAGCAGCTCGCAGACCTGGCTCCCCCTGCAGATGCAGTAACCCCCCCCCCCGTGCTCCGGCTGCACGGGCTCCCTCCCTCTCCCCTAGCACCTGAGCCTTCCTGCCCCAGGGCTGTTGCACCTGCTGCTGGGAGCGCCTCCTCAAACCGCGTGGCCAGTTGCGGCCTCCTGGTCATTCTGGCTACTCAGATGTCGTCTGTGCTAAGTCCCATCCCCAGTACCCCCGTCGCAGTCCCTTCACAGGCCTCGCCACAATCCACACCTTACTGCACTGTCCCTCCGTCCGGACGCTGGGACAGGGCCGCATCTGGCTCGAGGCCTTGCGTCCCTGCGTTGGACCAGCCCCGGGCTGGCCTCTGCAGCTCAGGCGGGTGGGGGACGGCGGCCCTGGGCTCACCCCTCATCAGCTTGGCGGGCAGCCGGTGGGCGCCTGTCTTCCATGAGGACCCGAGTCCGCGCTGCTCAGAGCCAAGGCCAGCCCTCCGGCCCTGCTGTTGCCGGTGGCCTTGGAGCCCCACCCAGAGGGCACATAAAGATTGGCTTCTGCCCCGTCTTGCCACCTGACAAGGGACAGTTGCTGCAGGCAGCCAGGCCCCCGCATCCCGTTTTAATGCCCGTGTCCTCTCGGCCGCTCGGAGCAGGAGCGGGGCCGCCAGCCGGGAGAGACGGATCGTAGAGGCTACAGCTGCCCTCGGGTGGGGGGCCTGTGGGTGATGCAGGCGGGCCCCCGAGTTATGGCCCACTCATCCCTGATGGCCAGCGTGCCAGACGCAGTGGCCTTCCTACTGCCCTGCTACCTTCAGTGGCGCGGATATTTGGGTAAGTTTTTCATCTGACGGATTAGGCAAAGAACTATTAATAGCGCCAGATGGGGGACAAGCAGTCTCCGCAGAGAGCCCTCGTTTCACTCCCAAGTAGCTGGCCTTTGCCTCTGCCCTGCGTGCCCCCGCCACGCCCCCACCTCACTCCACCTCAGCCCCGCTGCCTCCCTGCCCCACCCCTCCAACAGCCCGCTGGCTCCACGCATATACTGATGGTCTCCCTGCCCCCAACTTGGGGGCCCAAGCCCTGCGTGATCAAGCTCAAAGGCCCTGGCCCACTTGCAGAGGATGCGAGCGGCTACGGTTCCAGCCACCCACCGACGCTGCCCCACCTCTGCTCTCGCTTACCCAAGGGTCTGCGTGTTAGCCAGGCCGCGGCTGCTGGAGCTGCACCTGTTGGCTCCCGGCCCGCCAGAGTCTTCCCTGGGGCCTTGGAGCCCGTGGGCCCTGGTGCTGCGGGGACATGGAGCTGACCTGCAGGGCCACCTGCTCCCCTGGGCGGAAGGCTCTCTCTGCAAGTGGGGAATGAATGAGACCGGGGCAGGAGGGGGCTTCTGGGCACCGCTGAGGGTGGTTTCATGGTGTGGGGACTGGCTGCTGGGAGGGGGCACGGTTGAATACGCAGGCTAGGAGATGGCCATGGCTGCGCTGTGTGTGCATAATGACAACAGAAACCTCCCCAGACTCCCCGCTGCCGGCAGGGCTGGGCTGAGCAAGCCGAGAGGGACTGTCGCCCGTGGCCAGCGCCACCTCCAGAGTCTGCGGGTTGGGGCTGTACTGTCAGGCCAGTCATGACAAACAAGTCGGTGGCAATCACAGTAATTATTAAGATCAGACGGTAGCTAACGCCCGTGGATTTGCCGGGGCGCTGTCCGCGTGCTGCCTCTCGAACTCTCATTGTGGGTGCTCGAGCTGCCCTGTTTTCCCCATGGAGACACACACACACAGTGAGGTATCCGTCCCACCTCTGCCATAGCAAGTAAGCCAAGGGGCCAGGTCTGAATCCGGGCAGCCGACCTCAGAGCCCACCCCCTACCGCCGTGCACACTGCCAGCCCCTGTCCCCAGCATCTCAGGCTTCACGATGCCCAGGGTCTCCAGGCAGGTGTCGGCCTGGGGCGTCCTCCTGGGGTCCGCCCCACCTGCCTCTGCTGCACGCACCTGGCCTGGAGCGTGCGCCTTGCCGCGCCCTCGCCCTGTGTCCGCCAGCGCCCAGCTCGGTCTCCAGCAAAGGCTCCGGCACAGGCCGGGTGTGGAGCCGGGGAGGCGTCTCGGACCCTCGCACCCTGGCTACGACCACCAGAAGCTGACGGAGAAGCTCAAGTCCAGAGCCCGCACGTAGTGCCAGTACCGGGCCGGAATAAAGAGGACCTCCCCGGGAGACAGGACGCAGGACAGGAACGGGGCCTCGGCAAACCTGGGGAACTTCTCCCGCTTGGGGTTCTCCACGTCAACCTGAAGAAGACCCGAGCCGTCACCTGCCTGCTCTCCAGGGCCGGGTGGGAGAATCTGCAGCACCACGCAGGGTCCCCGAGCACCCACCTGGCTCGTGTTATGAAGAAGGTGCGTCTCGTGCGGATATAAAGCCTCTGACTCCTGCGGGGAATACAGCCGGATGTACTTCCTGCCGATCACCTGGGAAGACAGTGCCTCATCACTCAGCTGCTGCCCCCAGCGCCACGGCTGCCCCCCACGGACTGCAGGTCCCTGAACCCACCAGCGTCCCGCACCTCTGCACGCCCTTCCACGTGCTGTTCCCTGCGCCCAGACTGCCCCATCCCCGCCACGCGCATTCCAGGCCAGGCATGAGTTTAGCCTCCAGATATATTATGGATCGGTAACTAGAGAGTCTAGCCAAGTGGCCCAACGTCACCAGGCTGGATGGTGACAGGGCTGGCGTTCACGCCAAGCAGCGGCTCCGGGACCCAGCCCTCAGCCCCTCTAGTGCCTCTGCTGGAAGAATGTTCTCATCTGTTAAACCTCTCTGCCTGCAAAAAATAAGGTGGTTTCACAACAGGTGCCCCTCCCCTTGCAGTAAGCACACCCGCTCCCCGTCTGGGTCAGGGTCTCAGGACACACCATCCAGTGGCCGGGAAGCCACGCCTCGTCTGGGGAGAGGTGCTGGCAGGGGGAACCTGGCCTGGTTCTGATGGAAGGGGGGTGGCAGGGGAAGGCAGAGGACACGCAGCGTGAGGGCACTTGCTCCGTCCCGAGACGGCACCCCGGCCCTGCTCTGCCCGAGTGACGTGGCCACCATCCCGGGGGCTGCTGGTCCCGGGCCCACACCTGGAACCAGCCTCTGCCAGAGGGAGGGCCCCATAGGGGCCTGGTACCATCTTTCTGATTTCATTTTTGTCCACACCCCTCTCTCTGGTGTTTAAAACTGGGTAACGTGGCCAGCTGCGCGGGGCCAGGCTGGGGAGGCACAAGGCCAATGCCCTGGACCAACTCCCACCTGGACCAGAAAGTTCTGCTGAGGGTCCTGATGAAGGGGGGACACGGTTCCTTGGGGACCAAACCAGGCATTAATGGTGATCTCTTCCTCCTCCCCGTCGCCCAGGCAGCAGTAGTCCGGGATGCTGATGTCCCGCTTCAGCTCCGGGATCTGTGGGGGCAGAGCACAGGTGGGAGGTCGAGCCTCTGGCCAGGGACGCACCACCCCTGAAGTCAACGGACCATCTCACAGGATGGCCAAACACACACTGCCTTTTTACCTAACAACGCGACTGCGTCTGTGTTTTACTGTGGGGGAATTGAAAAACCAACTGAAGAAATTAATATATAGGGACACCTGGGTGGCTCAGTCGGTTGAGTGTCCAACTCCTGATTTCGCCTCAGGCTGTGATCTCATGAGATCGGGCCCCATGTTGGCCTCTGTGCTCAGCATGGAGTCTGCTTGTCCCTCTCCCTCTGCCCCTCCCACTATGCAAGCTCTCTCTCTCTCTCTCAAGTAAATACATAAATTTTTTAAAAAAAGAAAGAAAAAATAAATATATAATCATTACAAAAGAGTTACATATAATTTTATTTCCAGATTTGTTTCCCTGTCATGTGCATTTTATCTTCGTTTCCTTTTTGAAAACCTGATAGCACTGCTTTGCACTTAAAAATACACCAGCTCGCAATGTTTGTACTACAGAGTGCTACGTTTTTGAAAATCAAATTAAAGAAAAAAACAGAAAGAAAATGGGGTTGGGTATTTATCAAATCTCTGGAAAGGGAGACTCCCCAAAATGAACTAAGGAGAAAGCGGTCACCGTGCATGCATTTTAAATACGTTCACGAATCCAAAGGCCAATAAAGGGAGAAACTTTTGCACTGTGGTACCCGAGGGTTAGTGTGGAGAGCTCGTACCAAATAACAAGGAAACGTAGTAAGGATCCCGGTACATAAGCTACATGAATAATCAAAGGGCAAAAACCAGACGCTATGTAGAAATGAGTTCGATACAAGGGAGGCGCTGTTGGCTCCCCGCCCCGGCCGCCGTCCCTGACCCGCCGACAAGAGGTGCTTTCAGACAGCAAGCATGGTGTCCCCTCTGGAGTTTGCTTCTAGCCCTGCGTCCTCCCCGCTCCCTGGCCGGGCCTTCAGAGGGTCCGCCGGGGCTGCACCCAGCAGAGGGGCCCCAGCACCCCCACTCAGGGCTGGTGAGGGGTCCGGACACCCCGGGGAGGGGGCCGCGGGCCGGCTCCCCTGGGTGCAGCCCCGGCCGGGCCTTCTGAAGGCCTGTCAGACGCCGGTTCTTTCCCACAGAGGCCAGGTCCCCATGGCCCCACGCAGCCCCAAGCCTCGAAGACTGCCTGCTGCTAGGGTAGGTGGCTCGGCGGCTCAGGGAAATTCCACAGAAACCGACGTCTGGTCCCTAATGGGTGACGGTGGGGGGCACCCCTCGGCTGCTTTCCACAGGTATTTGAGAGGGACGTCTCCCTGCTCTGAAGGGGCAGCTGCAGGCAGGCTTTCGCCACCTTTCCGTCATAGCTGCTCCAAGTTCAGGGTGCTGGCCAAGAAGCCACTGATGGATCCTTGGGAATGGCTGGAATGTTCTCCCTGCAGAGACCTCAGGCTGTTCTGTCTCAAACAGCCTGTGCAGAAGTAGAGAAATGCGGCTGTGTCCACCGCTCTGGACTAACGTACAAGTTCCCAGTCTGGGGTCCCCTGTCCTGTCGGCCCGTGGGGTGGCCAGCGAGGTGGGGGGTGGCAGGAGTTGCCAAAGGCCTCTGGGAACCTCCTGCTTCTCCATCACCACCAGGCTCCGGCACACACAGCTGCTTCCCGCTGGGACGCTCGGAAGCGGACTGGTCCCTGATGATATCATCAGGGTTTCTGGACTGTGACTGGTTGGTCAAATGGTGTAATGAGAGCCACTGGCCACGGATTCAGAGACCCCCCCCCCCCCCCAGAGAAGGAATGCTCCCACCATGTGACCAATAATTAAAGGGAGGCCTAGCGTGGTGGCCACAATCTCCCACAACCTGGGGCCCCTGGGAGAAAAGTCAGTAAGAGGTTTTTGGGCAAGAGGTTTCAGGTGGGAGCCACTGAGCTTCGTGGAGACAGAGAAGGCCCCACAAAGCAGTGCGGGGGCCTGCCAGGTGGCACTCTGGGCAGAAGAGGTGAAAACACACCTCTGGGGACCCGAGAGAAAGATCCAGGTGGCCTTCCAAAAGGCAAAATGTCTTCAAGGTCTTGGTTCGTCTTAAAAACAATTGGGCACTTTGCCTTCTGCTTCTAAAACTGCTTCTTGTTCTAGTAAAATCGAAAATGGCTGCCCTAGGACAGGGAGGCAAGTTTACCTGTGGCTTCACAGGGCCCCCGGGAAGTGTGAACAAGGTCAGGGGACAGGCTGGTCACTTGGGATGGCACGGTAGGGGCCTGCTCGCTAGACTCCCCCTTTCCTTCGGAGAGGGCAGGAGCCCAACTGAGATGGGCTAAGGATGGTGCCGGGAACCCCCCCGGAAAACCCACGGTCAAGGACAGCAGTGACCTGCTCTTTCTGGGTCGGGTCCTAATTCGGGAGGCCTGGGAAAGAGAGCGCAGCCCACCCAGCCCGTGCGTAGGCTCCTGGGGGCTGGGACAGCCCCAACTGGACCTGGGTCCCGTGTCAGGACAGGCACTGAGAGTAGCCCCAGCCCAGGGGCAGACCCGGCAGACCTTGGCTGTGGTTCGGGCCCTGACTGACTCAGTCAGATCCAACCCCTTCAGGGCATAACCCCCCATCCCCACCCAGGCCAGGTGCTGCCCTGCCCAGGCATTCCTGCTGGGCCCCACCACAGTGTCTGTAGCCTGGCCGAGACACCAGCGAAGTCCCTCCTGGATCCCTTGGCTCCACTGACTGGGCACTTGGGTCTCAAGTCTGGAGTTTTCCTTGACTGCTCCCTTTCCCTCGGCCTCACCCAGCCACCTGTGTGCAGGTGCCGGCAGCTGGCACCAATCTGGAACCCGTCCGCTTCCCCGGGCATCAGCTCCCCCTGGACTACGGCAGCAGCTTCCTGGGGGTCTCCCCGCTGCCCCACCCGCCCACCTTCCATTCCCCTCCAGGACGGGGCCTCGGCCATCTGAGAAGGCCCCCAACCCTCCCACGCGGCCCCAGGCATGGAAAAGACCATCCTTCCTCTTCCAGCCCCACCTGCTGCTTCCCCCCCTCCCCCCAGGCACTTGGCTCCAGCCCCGCTCAAGGGGCAAGTCCGCTCCTGCTGCCCCCTTAGCTGGCATGTCCCCCTCGTCTCCTTTTAGACAAAAGAAGAAAGTTAAGGATTGGCATCAAATACAGCACTTACACTAGACAACTAGCTTAAACCCAGAACGTATACAGAGGACTCCTAACACTCAAAAGACAAACGACCCAATTAAAAACATGAGCAAAACATCCGCCCGTGGCTGGAGGCTGCTCGTCTTTGAGGTCGCCACTGAAGTCTCATCTCCTGGAGACGCCTTCCCTGCCCCTTGGCTCCCTGGAGCCACCGCCACAAGGCTGCCTGTTCTTCTCCTGGGGGCGCTCATCACCAGCTGATGTACTTGGATTTCAGGTCCACTGGGGCGGGAGGGGCAGCTCTTCCTTACCCTGTCCCCCCAGGGCCGGGCCCAGAGCAGGGTGCAGAGGGGCTCACAGGAAGCCCAGGCCCAGGGCAGCATTCCGGCCCCCCGCTCCCAGGACAGAGTGAAGTGAGTGGGGGGGCAGGGCAGGGGGGTGGACAGAAGGAAACTGTTCAATGACCTCCCCAGGATAAGCTGTCAGGTTGTTTCAGCCTAACCAGATGGCTCTGAAAACTCGGAAGGCCATCAGGTTCCACTTCACTTTGTTCCCTCGTTGTGTCTACATTTAAAAATAACGTCTATTTTTCCTCATGATGATGAGCATACGGGCTCGTTCTAGATGCTTTGCAAACTGCAGAGAATAGGAAAAACCGCACACTGTGTGACCACGCACAAGCGCTGTTCATCTTCTGGGGCATCTCCTGTCCTCACCAGAGCAGAGCTCCCTCTGTCCGCTGCGCATCCTCACTTTCTCACTTCCCCGCAGCCAGGCAGCCCCCCGGGTCCCGCCAGCGCGTCTTGAGTGAGCCCCCCTGCTCACCGTGTGCTCGGGGCGCCGGGTGACAGGTGCACGGGACACGCGCTGCTGGGGTGGGGGCTGGGAGCCATCCTGCATTTCTGTCAGCTCTGGGAGCACTGGTGGGGCCACCCTGTCATGCTCCCTTCTTAGGGCTGACTGGTGACGGTGATGGAGAGAGCCGGAGCAGGACTTCTGCCCCGCCCCCACCCTGGGCTCTCCTGATGGATCTCCCCGGAATACCTCCTCTTACTGGGACCCTACTGCTCAGAAACCTCCCAGGGCTCCCCGCTGCCTTGCAGATAAATCCAAGTTCTTGGTCTGACCTTCAAGGCTTGCCCAGCTGGGGCCCAGCCTCCCTCTTTGCCTTCTCGCTCTGCTCTTCTGGATACGCCCTCTCAGGCAGGTGGACGCACCAGCACAGGGGGCCTGCTCCAGAGTGCACCCCTGAGCCTTGGTGCATGAGGTGCCTCTCCCTGCAATGTCCTCCTGCCTCCGGCCTGGCTGGGCACCGCTCCTCCTCTCAGCCCCAGCCCGAGACCCCCTCCGCCTGCAGCCTTCAAGCAGTCTGTCCTGAGGGTCTTCAGTCTGGCCAACCAGGGCTGGGGACCCAGAGGAACCGAACCCGACCCCTGCCAGGAGTGCACAGGCCCAGCCAGGGGGAGATGGCCTCGAGAGCTGACAAGTGAGATGGACTAAGGACGGTGCCGGGAACACCCCCGGAAAACCCACGGTCAAGGACAGCAGTGACCTGCTCTTTCCGGGTCGGGTCAGAGCCTGCCGCCCTCACTCGGCTCCCCAGGACCCAATCCTCCATGTCCGACCACACCTGCTCCCACTTCGCTGGGGCCACCTCCCTCCGACGCCGTGGGCTCCTCACCCCCCCCATCCCAGGCTTGGGGCCCCGGGGTCGGCACGCCCAGTCTCCCGCTCGCCAGCTGCTGCCCTCTGGTGAGGGGGACACGGGCGCCACCCCCGTGGGTGGCCCAAGAGGCTGCTAGAGCCTTTCCGGCCCTCTGGGGCTCAGAGCCCATGAGGGGAGGTGGGAGAAGGTGGCAGGATCAAGGACAGAGGAGCGTGGTCTCAGACTTACCTGGTCAAAGAGCTGGTGCTGCGCAAGGTACCCGACGTCCTTTGACTAATCCGTGGAAGGAAAACCGGAAGCGACACAGAAAAAGCCTGGTTAGCCGTAAGGAGCACCCTCCGGGCGCTGTTCCGCTCACTCTCAGCACTGGGTGTGCCCCAGCCACGGGCAGCCAGCTGGCAAGAGCGGTGCACTGCGTCCCGTCCCTCTTGGGCCCCTCTGTGCCCCAGGGGCAAACATCAGCGATGCTCTCCCTCTTGCGGGCAGCGCTGGGCCGCCTCTGTAGGGATGCCCCAGGCTCAGTTGCAGCGCTGGGCCGCCTCTGTAGGGATGCCCCAGGCTCAGTTTCCCCCCATGAAAATGAAGAGGCTGTACACCCATGAGGATTTCTTTTATAAATAAAAATAGAATCATATCATATGTATTACTTGGAAATCCGTTTCATTTAATGACAACCTCACGAGTATCTCCTCAGGTGAGTACGTACAGATCTGCCTCATTTTTTTTTTTTTTTGACGGATACATGTTTTATAGGCAGGGTACCCCATGAATTCAATCACCCCCTGCTGGTGGACAGTCAGGTTATTTAGCCAGTGTTTCCATAAACAGCCTAATATTCTGGTCCTTATATTTATGTCCTCCCAAAAATAGAACAACTGAGTCAAGGAGTGTCTGCATTTTAAATTCTAGTAGCTTCTGCCAGCTTATTTTCCCAAAATTAACCACGTACTGACTTTCCAGCACAACTGTGAGCACCCATTCCTACATCCCAGCTGCATTCCCCAGAGATGATCATTTTGTGAACATCTCTGCCATCAGACGGATGGAAAGATCGGTGCCTTACAAACTGGGCTCCACAAGGTTCCAGGCCTTCTTAGGAGGTAGCGCAGGCTCTGGAAGGGCCACTGGGGGTGGAGCATGCGGGAGGCTGGCTGCCAGTCCCCCCAACCATAGCCACAGCCCAGCCGGCCTGGGTCTCCTGGGCTCTGCTGATGAACTCATTGACCGTCATGAGCGTCTGCGACCAGTCCTCGTCCGTGTACCTGGAACCAACTTCTGCCGGGACAGTTCGGCAGCCGGCAATGTCTTGGATATACTCCAAACTAGTATGTTGAAGGAGATGGAGGCTTCTCTCTAGAATCCCTCAGGACTTTCTCTGCTTCCAGCCCTCTCCCTCACTCCCTTCTCTTCTTGATGACTTGAAAAGTTACAACAAGCCAGACCTGGGGTTCTGCGGCGGGCAGGGCCAGATCTGTGTGATCTCTGCTGTCACGGGGATTCTGGCCCAAAGACGCTAACTCAGGTTAGCCAGGTGCTGACCATGCTGCGCTCAGAGCTTTCTGTGGTTTACTCTTCCATGTTTCAAACTATCAGCCAGCATGGTCACCCCCCGGGGCCCTTGGACTACAGCAGACCCAGATGAAATGATCAGAACTTTCCAAGGGCTGGGCCTGGGGCTGCTCTGGGTGTGAGTTGCTAGAAAGTGTGTGGAACAATCGCAGACCATGGATTTGAAATTCCCCGACCCCCCTCGGGAAGGGCTCTGCTCTCCGGGCCAGGAAGACGGCTGGGACTACAGAGTCTGGGTGGACGTCCCCTCCCCGTAAGGGTCCATGCGCCGCGTGCAGGCTTCCCTTCTGAGCCCAGAGGAACGGTTTGGGCCTCAGGAAGGGGAAGCCACCCCCAGCCTTTACTGTGAATAATGTGACATGAGAACACAGTGCAGCTGCTTTTGGAAACCATCTGGCAGTTCCTCAAAATGGTCAAACATTTTGTGACCCAGCGACTCTGCATCTAGTATATACACGAGAGGAACGAAAACAGACAACCACACAGAGAAACGTGGATGGGAACGTTCCCAGTGGCACTTTTCACACCAGCCAGTGTAGACCACCTGACCAGCCATCAGCTGACAATAAACAAAATGCGGAGTGTCTACACCCCGGGATATCACCCAGCCACAGCAGGGAACCCCGAGAGCATAGTGCCGACAGCAGCCGGACACAGAAGGCCACAGACTGTCCAATTCCGTTTCTATACCAAGTCCAGTATTGGGAAATCCATGGAAACATAAAGCAGATTAGGGGTTGTCTGTAGCAGAAGAGGAAGTGACTGCTCATGGCTATGGCATTTCTTGGGGAGTGATGAGAATGTTCTGGAATTAGATAGTGGGGATGGGTGCAAAATCTTAGAAAGACACTAAAAAACAAACCAACCAACCACTGAATTGTACCAAAAAAAAAAAAAAAAAAAAAGACCTGAAATGAGTCAGCGTTCCGCGTGCCTTGCAGCTGGCCTTCCTCACTCTGGCCGCCCTACCAGCCCCTCCAGACCCTCGTCCTACAGCGCCCAGATGTCCTGCAAGCTCCCCCCGTAAACGCTGCAGGGGAGGAGGCACGACGACATACCTCACTCCTGACGTATCTGCTGATGAACTCATCGACCGTCATGAGCGTCTGCGACCAGTCCTCGTCCGTGTACCTGGAACCGACTTCCACCGGGACAGTTCGGCAGCCGGCAATGTCTTGGATATACTCCAAACTAGGAGACAGATGCGTACAGTCACCACTGTCGCTTTGGCTAAGACCTGCCGGGCACTCGGCCACACTGGTCTCCTCTGGTCTCCACACAGCCCCAAGGGGAGAGACTACTGTTACCCCCTCTTCACCGGCGGGGGGCACTCGGGCACCGACATGTGGGGTGACATGCCCACCGGCGCCACATGGCTTTGCAGAGAGATCCAGTGAGGCTGGTTTGCCAAGCTTCTCGCTGGGCGGTTCTATCGCCGGGCTGGCTGAAAGCATCCCAGTTCTCTCTCTGCTCACCTTGTCTCTGAGCTCAGAGACGTCTGAGCAAACAGCAGACAGCACAGCAGGGCCGCTGGCTTCTGAGCTCGGGCAGCCTGGCCCTGCCCGTGGCCGGCCGGGGACCTCTGCCCACTGGTAAGCTAGGGTGATGACGGTACCTGTCCCATGGGATGGGAACTGGGAGGACAGAGAAAGAAAACATGGCACGAGCCGATCATGGCGGCTGGCCCGTAGTAAGACCCGTAATGAACATTTGCGGGACGATGGCCCCTGCGGCCGGTACTCTTCACACGGCCTTGGCGGGAACTACTCCGTCCACGAACCACAGGAGACAGGGGAGCCAATCTGTCGTCCTCAGAGACCCCTGCTCCTTTCTGCAGCTTCGGCATGCCAGCCACCGCTCAGCGGCCCGACCTGCTGTCACCACCATGAATCTGAGCAGATGGGAGGAGGAAGCAGGCCCAGGAGACCTGCCTGCAGGGGAGGGGCCGTGTCTCGGGTTCTTACTTCTGCTCTTAGGCCTCAGGGCCCTGGGAAGGTCCAGGGAACACCTCAGATCAAGCAAAATGGCTTTAACAGACTTCACGCCGCACAAGGCGAGCACTCACTAGAACCTGCTTAGAGCAGTGAGCTGTGGAAGTATGGACCTTTCCGTCTCTGCCACGAACTTGGAGCACTGCACCTGTAATCCCCGGTTAACCCCTAGTGATCTATGCAGGCACAGTCGGGACATGCATGCGAGGCTGCATTTCCTTGGGACGAAGGGAGATGGAATCGGGGAGTCCCCGGGTGGGGGTGGGGGGCTGGATCGGGCAGAGCCACCCACCTCCACTTCGTCATGCACGGCCACTGGTCCGCCACGCCTTCCAGGATCACAGGCCTCCCGGGAACCAGAAACTGCTTCCTGAAATGCTGGAGGGACGGACAGCGAAGCCGGGGGACCAGTCTCTCCGATGCCACATCCGGAACCGAAACACAGTCGTCCCTCGCTTTCTGTTTAAAATCAAAGCGCCGAGAAGTTACCATCTGAGGCACTGGGCTGGGCGTCTGCGTCCCCGCAGGCTAGCTGACTCCGTTACTGATGACAGCGCCGTACGCGTTGGCACTGTCCCTGCGTCCCCCTCCTCCTTTTCATGCTGGAGACACCCAGACTTTTTTCTTTACCAGTTCAAGGGTCTGTTTGCTTTTAAAAAGAACATACAGAAACTCCACAAGAGAGGAAAAGTCACCACCCCAAACGCCATCTGGTGTCAAAGGACCCTGTCCCGTGACGTGTTCCTGGCCCAGCTTCTGGCGCCCGGCAGGGACGTGCGGGACGGGCAGCCCAGCTAAAGCAGGTCATAGCCCCGGCAAGGTCGTGGGAGCCCCTGCGCCAGAACTTCCTCAACCACCTGTCAGCCAAGTGACCTGAGCCAGTCACTCCCTCGGGCCTCAGTTTCCTCACCTGTCACATTATTGGGAGAGGAGACCTCCCACGCAGAGTGCCCAGGATCACCGGTGGGTGGGGGGTCCGCTCCCTCTGTCCCTGCAAGCCGGGCGCGAGGCCTCCCACGTGCCTGTTCTCGGCCTATATACCCTCTGCTTTGGTTGTCACACCTGCCCTCATCAAAGAGGCCTCCCTGACCACCCTATGTGAGCGAAGCTGCCTCCCCACCTTTCTCACCGTGCGAGAGAAGACGTACTTCTACAGCCTCCTAGAACCCAGGCTCCAGGAGAACGGGCCCTTCCGTATCGTACCCTCAGCGCCTGGCACATCTGGACCACCACCTGGGCTCCAGAGAGCCGCCGAGCAAACCCCCCCTTTATAGGCCCGGGAATGGGGACACTGAGGGGCCCAGACCCTTGGCCGACTCCGGCAGGCCGACTCTGAGCTCTCCCCCTTCAGCTACACACACTGCCCAACGCCGCCCACGCCGGAAGCACCACCTTGGGTGCAGGGCCACCTCCATGTTCCCTTGGGACAGACTTGGCGTGGGAAAGAGAAGTGCAACCCCTGGGTCCAAGGGCACAGGTATGTCTGCCCTGCCCCCTGAAAGGTCAACCAACACGCCATGCCTGTGGCCCCCTGGCGTCCTTGGCAGCACCGCGTATCACAGGAAACCTCCTTTGAGGATTTCACAGCCAACAATGGCTGCCTCCCCGTTCTTGCCTTTTTTTTTTTTTTTAAACCACAGGTGAGATGGAACATTTTCCCACATGCCTGTGTCACAGACCTATTTCCTCCTGGCAACCAGACATGCTCAGAGGTATTGCGGCTGAGGGCTGCACACCAGCGCTGGGGCCTGACACCGTCTGCCGCCGCCCTCAGGTCTGCGCGGTGTGCTTCGCACCCCCAAGTACCAAGAACCCCCCCATGCCAGGACCTCAAGGGCGGGACCAACCAGCCATGGGACCAGGAGGCTGCTGGAGGTAGCAGCTCGCCCCAACTCCGCAGCACCGAGAGCGAGGGAGCCGGGAAAGTGGGTGACACTTCAGCAAGCTGACCAAGAACAGGCCGGAAGGCGCATGCTACAGCTGCCCACAGCTCTGGCCCACACGAGCCCTTTGAGCTGCCGCTCTCGGCGGCCACAGAGCCTCCACCCTCCCTCTCTCCTGAAAGGGCACTGCTTTTGCAGAAAGTGGAGGGGAAAACTGAGAAAACAGACCAGGCTGTTCCATTTCTAAATCCACCAAGATTCTATTTTCTGCCAGAGGTCAGCACGCTGTGAGGTCTCAACCCTGGGGACAGCTGACTCCTCCCTTCTAGAAAAAACAGGGCTGTGGGGGGCATGTAAGGTGTGGCAGGCAACAATCCCACCTAGATACCTTCATGCTGGGCTGCTCCTCGGCCAGGCCTGGGCCGGGCCTCTTTGCTGAGGGGAGGTGAGCCTGGAGGACAGCGGCGACTTTAATGAGGATGTCCCCATGGATGGCCGCCCCCATCAGCAGGCCCATGTCACAGGCCTTCAGGGCCGCGGCCACTGCGGCGGAATCCCCAGGCTCCTCGAACAGACACACTGCCTTCAGGAGGCAGCCGAAGGCGTAGACGCGGCGCCAGTCCTTGTGGACGTCCTGCCACGGGCCCGTGTTGAGTTTCTCCCAGGAGTAGTCCAGGATGGCCTCACTGGCCTGCAGACACTCGCTCCGGCGGCCCCCGCAGAACAGCTCAGCGGCCTCCCACAGGAGCTGCACCACGCTGCGCTCTACCTTCTCCCCGAGCTCTGGCACCAGCTCCTCCTTCCTGTGGGGCAGGAGCGCCCGGAGGGCCTCTCGGAGGGTGCCGGCTCCTGCCGGGGGCTCTCGGTTGTCTTCGGCCATCGGGCCCTCTGCCAGCCTAGCCTGATAAAGGTGGTGGGGAAAGAAAGAACAATTAGAGCAAAACACTGTGCTGCACACCTAAATATGCACATTTGTAGATTTTCATAAAATCAAACTGGGACCGGTGGGGAGCTAGATCTGTGATGACATCCAGTGGCCAAAATGTCAACCACCGAGAGTTTAAAAGATATATATTAAAACGCAATCTATGGAACGGGAGCAGATATTTACAAATGACATATCCAAAAAGGGTTAGGATCCAAAATCCATAAAGAACCGACACAACTCAACACTCAAAAAACAAATAACCCAATTCAAAATTGGGCAGAAGACATGAACAGTCATTTCTCCAAAAGAAGACATCCAGATGGCCAGCAGACACATGAAAAGATGCTCAATATCCCTCATCATCAGGGAAATGCAAATCGAAACTACAATGAGATTTCACCTCAACCTGTCAGAATGGCTAAGATCAACAACACAAGAAACAACAAGTGTGGGTGAGGATGCGGAGAAAGGGGAACCCTCGTCCATTTCCATGTTGGTGGGAATGCAAACTGGTACAGCCACCCTGGAAGAGTATGGAGGTTCCTCAAAAAATTAAAAATAGAACTACCCTACAACCTAGTAATCATACTCCTGGGTATCTACCCCCAAAATACAAAAACACTAAAGGATTACATGCATCCCTGTTTATTGCAGCATTATTTACAACAGGGGACCTATGGAAGCAGCTCACGTGTCCATCGATTGATGAATGGATAAAGATGTGATATGATGTGTGTGTGCGTGTGTGTGTGTGTGTGTGTGTGTGTGTGAGAGAGAGAGAGAGAGAGAGAGAGAGAGAGAGAATATTACTCAACCATAAAAAATGAAATCTTGCCATTTGCAATGATGTGGATGGAGCTAGAGAGTATAATGCTAAGTGAAATAAGTCAGAGAAAGACAATTATCATATGATCTCACTCATGTGATATTTAAGAAACAAAGCAAATGAGCAAAGGAAGAGAGAGAGAGAGGGAGAGAGAGAAACCAAGGAGCAGACTCTTAACTAAAAAGAACAAACTGATGGTCACCAGAGGGGAGTGGAGGGAGGGATGGCTGAAATAGGTGATGGGGATTAAGGAGTGCACTTATCATGATGAAAAAAATAAAATAATTAAAAAATTAAAAAGTGATAAAATATAAAAGTAAAAACTATATAAAGTTATTTTCCAGACAGAGAAACCACACAGACTTCCTCCCTTCCAGGTTCCCACAGTTTCTCACATGTGTCCTTTCTGACAGCATCCCATGGGTCATGATTCTACAGTGGCCTTCTTCGGCGGGACATTAACTCTGCGTGCAGGGCCCTCGTCTGTCTGGGGTCACTGCTACATTGGGGGCCTGGCACAAGACCAGGCTCGCCGTGGGCGCCGGATAAATGTTTGCTCAGAGAGGAACAGGTACTGCCCTTGTCTGGAATGCCTCTGACACCCCGCCTCTCTGGCAAACTCCTATCCAACATTTAAGGCCCACCCTCAATGATCCCCTATGGGAAACCTGCCAAGACCCTCTGACAGCATTTTGTGTTGGAATAGCTCTTGACTTTCTTTAACTGCTCTTGTCCCAAATGTACTCTGAGTACTGGCCTACATGTCTGTCTCTCTGATGCTAGCTGGGGAGCTTCTCCAGGGCAAGAACAGGTCTCATTTCTCTACGTTTCCCTGGAGTCTGGCTCACAGTAGGCACTCAGTGAAGGCTCCTGAAGGATGAGATCTTAGCTTCGCAGGAAGAAACCTGGAAATACATAAAACCTACAGAGAAATGACAAACATCATAGTTGGTGCTTTTGGTGGCATTCTATATGGATGGCAGGCCGGTCCTAATGCAGAAGTACTAATATGTGAGTAGGTTCTAGCGGGTTCATAATTGCCCGCAATCGATTACTCACCCGTGCTGCTATGCGCTAGGTGTACTAACAGCTGTTAATATCCCCTATCTCATTGGATGCCAAGAAATAGCGACCTTCGTGCAATTGCGGGATCATATGGTAGCTCTATTTTCAACTGTTTGAGGAACCTCCATACTGTTTTCCAGAGTGGTTGCACCAGCTTGCATTCCCACCAACAGTGTAAGAGGGTTCCCCTTTCTCCACATCCCCGCCAACATGTCATTTCCTGACTTGTTAATTTTCGCCATTCTGACTGGTGTGAGGTGGTATCTCATTGAGGTTTTGATTTGGATTTCCCTGATGCCGAGCGATGTGGAGCACTTTTTCATGTCTGTTGGCCATTTGGATGTCTTCTTTGGAAAAATGTCCGTTCATGTCTTCTGCCCATTTCTTGATTGGATCATTTGTTCTTTGGGTGTTGAGTTTAAGAAGTTCTTTATAGATTTTGGATACTAGCCCTTTATCTGATATGTCATTTGCAAATATTTTCTCCCATTCTGTTGGTTGTCTTTTGGTTTTGTAGACTGTTTCTTTTGCTGTGCAAAAGCTTTTTATCCTGATGAGGTCTCAATAGTTCATTTTTGCCCTTGCTTCCCTTGCCTTTGGCGATGTTTCTAGGAAGAAGTTGCTGTGGCTGAGGTCAAAGAGGTTGCTGCCGCACAGGACCCATCTAAGCCACACCCAGACTCTTGACCCAAAGAAACTAATATGTGTTGTTTTAAGCAACTAAGTTTATGGTGATCTGTTGTACAGCAGTAGATAACTAATAAACACCCCTATCCAGATTTCCCTGACCCTCTGGGACTCAACTGTAACTCACCCAATAGAACAGGAAGAAAAAGCATGGCTTCCTTTAGTACCAATGTGTATGAAGAAGTCAGCAGTAGACAGGGAAGTGAAGACATATGAATGCTAGAGGTATGGTCCCTAAAGGCAGGCTGGACAGCCCCATCCCTACCTCTGGGCTCCATGTTAGCTCATTTCTCCCCAACTCAAGAGTAACAGCAAGTAGAATACTGACAGTATTGCATGATTACCTCACCAACTCTCATAATGACCTTGTGACACCAAGAACATACTGGGGTATTTACTGTAAGCCAGGTATGCTCCAGGGGCTTTTTAATTCTTACAGAAACTCTAACAAAGTATCATCATCCCCATTTCACAGGTAAGGAAGCTAAAGCAGAGAAGTTAAATGACTTGTCCAAAGCACTCAGCTGGGAAGAGGTGATCCAGAGATTTAAAACTCAGGCCGTCTGGCCCCCACTTCCATGATCTTACAGGTGAAGGAACGGAGCCATGCCATCTCCAGCCAGCCCACGATGAAGCTGGGAGTCCGGGTTGCTTAACTCAAGAAAAATCTGTAAAGGAGGAGTTATTATTCCCACTTAACAGATGAGAAAATCCCATCACTTCACAGAAGGAAAGGACCCATCTTTCTTGTGTGTCATTATGTTTGAAGTACCTCTTCCTGGGTGTGTCCTCAAGCTGCAGCAATACCAGAGAGTTGTTCTCAGTCCTGCCGTCTTTCCACAGTTCCCCCACTTTTCCTCTCCCTCTCCTTTGATTTGTACCTCTTGGGGCCGTTAAGTGGATAGGGAAGTATGTGACCATTCTCCCCACAAACCCATCCTCTTTTGCTGATGAAGGAACTAAAGTCCAGGGAAAAATGAAGTGACTTTCCTATGTGCCGTGTCAATGTTCCATGTTTTATGTAGATTACCTAATATATTCCTCCTAATTTCATGATGTGTGGTCTTACAGATATGAACAAAGATTTGGGAGATTAAGCAACTTGTCCAAAACTACACAGTATGTGGTAGTGTTATGCAGAACACTCTTTGGCTTCGGGGGTGAGGACTGAATCCGTTTTTGGACCTTTGTCTCCTAGCTTGGTCCTTGGTGCACAAGGGGTATCCCTCCCAGCGGGGCCTCCAATGAATGATGGGACTGAGAGCCTCGAGTGGCCTGGCCCTCACCTGCCAGGATGATTTCTAGCTCTGGCCTCCTAGAAGATTTGTAAATGTCTTGTGTTGGCCTAATGAACAGCCTTCTTGGGAGGGCTTCACAGTCCAACCTTCCAGCGTGGCCATATCTACTACCCACCCACAAAAATGCATGTGAGCCCATCAACTGGTCTCCCTCGGTGGCTTCGTGGCTCATCCCCCTCAGAGTGACGCATGTGTCTTATGAAGCAACCTCGAGAAGTCTCGGGTATCCAAAAGACCTCAGAGGCTTCATACCCTGGCTTCTCACAAAGGTCTATAAAAAAGGCTCCCTGTGCCCAACCGGAGCAAGATGGTGGAGGAGTAGGAGACCTGGATTTCATCTGGTCTCAGGAATTCAGCTGGATAGGGACCAAACCATTCTGAACACCTATGAACTCAACAGGAGATCAAGGAAAAGAATAGCAACAACTCTCTGAACAGAAAAGCGACCACTTACTGGAAAGTAGGACGTGTGGAGAAGTGAGTCTGAGGCAATATTCGGGAGGACAGATGGCGGGGGGGTGGAGCCCGCCGGCTGCTTCTGGCAAGTGATAGAGCCACGGAGCACAAAATCGGAAATTTTAGAAGTCGGCTCCGCTGAGGGATATCGCTCCAGTGGCTAAGCGGGGTGTGGAACCCTCGTGGGACAGTGTGGTCTCAGGACCCTCGGGGTCACAGAAAGACCGGGGGTGCCTGAGTGCGGCAGAGCTCCTGGGTATCAGAGCAGGGAAGCCGGCTGCAGAGATGGAGCTGAGACGCGGGCTCTCAGCTCGGGGATGCCATAAACTGTGATCGGTGACAGTCGGGCCACTGCTCCTCTAGCAGGGACCCAACAAGCGGCAGATCCGGGGAGACTCCCCTTCCTCCCCTGGGAGGAGCGGCGCGGGAGCACACAGCAGGGATCTGCTGGGTTTGGAGACTCCACACAGGGTCGGGTGCCAGAAACGCTCAGTCACAGGCCGGGTGAGCACGGAGTGCAGCCGGAGACCTGGGAGATGGGAGTATTTGCTTTTCTCTGGGGACGCACTGAGGAGCGGGCCCCGAGTTCTCGGATCCTCCAGGCAGAGATTGGGAGGCCACCATTTTCACTCTCATCCTCC